GAGTCGGAGTTGGCGGCGGAAGCGCGACCTCCGACCAGCGTCTCGGCGGCGCCGCAGGTGAGCTGGCAGGTGGGGGAGGCCCGGGGGTGCCGGGTAGAGAGCCCCTCAAGACCCCGAGGCCCTCAGGAACCGTCCCGCACCCACAGGACCCCCGGCTCCCGCCACTCTGGATCCACAACCACCTCAAGGACCTCGACAGATCTCGCTCGGTTCCCAGGACCTCCCCTCTTCTCTTGGGAACCTCAGCCCCCGAGACCCCTCGGGATCCGCGCCGGCCGCTCCAGGACCCCTAGTCCCGGCCACCTCTAGCCCCTTCACTTTCAGGACTCTCAAGCCCCGAAACCCTTCAGGATTTCCCCTAGACTCCGAGACCTCCTGAGGACCTCCTGACTCTTAAGGGCCCCGAGACCCTTTAGGATCCTCATGTCCAGAAACCCCCCAAGAGTCCCTCAGGACCCCCGAGATCGTCCCAGATTTTCCCATCCCCAGGCCTCCACAGAACTCCCCTGGGCCGTGAGGCCCTCCGTGCCATCTCTCCTTAGCCCCCGAGGCCCCTGGGCCGCCATCCCCACCCTCGGCATCTGCCCTGACCTCTTTGTCACCTGCGCTGAGGTTCAGGCCCCTTTTGGTTCTTCCTTCGCGCTGGTCTCAATGCTGGGTTTCTCTGGCCTGAGATCTGGGGGCCCATGGGTGCTCTGTGAAAGTATTCCATGGGGGTTGTGAATTCTTGATGATAACATAAAAGATGTAGAGACATATAATGGGTCACCTGATGACTCTTTGTAACCACGCAGGGGCTATGATCTTAGCACTTTGTGTTTACTGTTGCATTGAGGCCAAAGCAGGACAGTGTTTAACTTTTAATGCTCTTTGGTGAGACTCGTATGGCCCCACAGAAGAGCCCAGAGATCAGATCTGATGTGGAGGGAGGCAGAGCTAAGTAGGTGAGGGACTTGGGGCATTTTTTGAAGTTCTCTCCTCTTAATTTTTTCATTCACAGAGCTAACATTTTTTAAAATGGCTGTGATGCCAGAGAATTGTTTGGAGGTGATATGGACCAGGGTGGTGGCAGTGAGGACTGTGGCTTCCTCAAGCATGGCTAAGCTTCTTAAAGTCCAGACCCAAAAGACTAGTTTCCAAGAATTGGCACTGGAGCTGGAGATGACAGTCCCTGCTCTCAGAGCCGTACTGGAGGGAGTAGTCAAGCAAGTACGTAGTTTTAATAACGTGGTAACAGTGTAGTGGCACTGCACTTAGCTGGGGGTGCGCATCGGATTCTCAGGAAGGGGTGCTATGGAGGGCTTCTTGGAGGGAAGGAGGAGTGACCAGTAATCTTGAAGGTGGAGGTTGAGGAGAAGTTTGCCAGGGTCATTCCAGGAAAAGGACTGTATGCAAAAAGGCTTTGAGGCACACCACAAAGCACATCCGATTCTGGAAACCAAGAAGTGTGGCTAAAGAGATCATATCTTCCTAAGAACAAGGTCCTCAGGGTGCTCTTAGAGGGACTCTTAAGTGGAAAGAATCCAGCTTTATTCCCGGAGGCCCACCCTGCCCCTGGCCCTTTCTTGGGTTGCTGCTTCCACCATCGCCCTGAGTAAGTGGTGATCCAGCTCAGAGCCGAAGGAAAATGGGAGTTGGTCAATAGAGAGGAGACCAGAATGGGAGAAACTGGGACATTTGGCAGAGGGCAGGACTTGAGACAGAAGTCCCAAAGAGTGAGGAGCTTCTGAAGCCCAGGAGAGGATTTGGCACCTGAAGGGAGTGGGGGGCCATTGAGGGGCTTAAGGAGGGGAGTGAAGATGGTTTTTGTGGTTTTGAACAGTCACTGGCTCTGGTGTGGGAGAATGGTTTGGGGGAAGCAAGACCACAGGAGTGGGGAAGGTGACCTGGACCAGGGTGGTGGTAGTGAGGACCGTGGCGTCCTCTTAAAGTTTAGACCCAAAATACTTTGTTCCAGTTGTTTCCTGTCTCAGCCTTCAGTTTTCTGTCCAGGGATTGACTCTGGAACCTTGTTACTCCCGTTAGGCGAGATTTTGTCCTTTTGCCCACAGGGCAGGTCGCCTTGGGCCTTGTCACGGTGACTGTGCCTGTGTGGCAGAGTGAGCCCAGCGTCCACGCAGGAGGTGCACAGTGGTGCAGTGGGCCAGGGGACGAGAGGCTGAGGCTGAGGCTGAGATGTAACCAGATCATGGAGCACTGGGAAGCTGGGCTCGGGGTCCTGAAGGAACTGGAAGGCCTTTGAAGGAGAGTTCAGATGTGTTGTGTCAGAAGCGTCATTCTGGAGACTGTGGGACCAGAGAGGCTGAAGCTGGAAGCAGGGTGGCTGCCAGCAGTCCAGACAAGCTGTGAGGACTGTGAGGCAGTGATAGAGAGTGTGGTTTAGAGAGCGATTTAGGGAGAGAAATCCACAGGACTTGTTTTTGAAGTCTGGGCTTGGCCGAGGGGAGGGAGACTGCAGGATAACGCTGTACAATAGAACTTTACGTGATGATGAAAGTGATCTGTATGGGTGCTCTTCAGTACACGCGACACGTGTCTCTGTCAAGCACTTAAAAGTGACTAGTGTGATGGAGGAACTGAGTTGTAAATTTTATTTAATTTTAATTGACTAAATCCTGGAAGGATACCCATCACATCCATGGGGCGTAGTGGGAATCACACTGCTGTAGGCTTTGTTCTTCTAAAGGTTACCCCTTTTAATGTTTTCAGCATCCCTGGGATATAAGATACTATTTTTTTTAACAGATAAAGGAAATAAAGCTCAGAGAGTCTAACTTACTCCCATATTAATTAGTACAGGCAGTTCCCGGTTTAACTTCTAAGCCTGGACTCTGCGAGACTCTTCTTCCTCCCACAAGGAGCCTGCAGGTCTCTTTCCCAGGAGAATGAGGTCCTCTCGGTGGCTTTGTTTCCAGGCTGAGCCCTCCTTATCTGGTCCCCGCTAAAGTTAATGCAGACAGCTGTGTGATAAGCCGGCCTGGGGACCAAACAGAAAACTGTGCGAGCTGCTTGTTTTGCCCGAGGCTTCTTGCTGCCTCTCAGATCTTCCTCATGGCCATTTCTATTTACATTTCTGGAAGATGACCGGGGTTAGGAAGCAGGTGAACCTGCAGATCAGCTTAACTGCCGCTTGGTATTTGTAAAGATTTGGTGGTGAAAAGAGGTGAAAATGAGTGCCTTACATGGAGTTTTGGGGTCGCAGTGGACCAAGTGGTGTCCAGGATAGTGGCGAGCTTGGGGGACATGAGCCAGGAGTGAGTGTGTAGCCTGCCCCTGACTCCCTGATTCCCAGGGGTACCTTCAAGTCACTGCCTCTCAGAGTCTCAATTTTCACAACTATAAAATAGGGTATTTGGCCTCACATAACCGTTAAGATCACTCCAGCTCTAAGATTCTATAATTTATGTTTCATTGGAGGTTCACTGTCTAGAACATCTCTTATTCCTCTTAGGATGGATAAATGCTGGAGGTTCAGCATGCCTTTGACCTCTGTATTGGTGTATTTTTACCATTATTGGCTTATTAAGTAGCGTGTCTATTTGAGTTGTGCAACGTGTCACGTCTGATGAATGAACTGTTAAAAGAGCGAACGCTTTAGCTGTTGGCAGTGTTCCTAGTAAAATGTCAGGTATATTTGTTTGCTCTGCTGAGCTGCAAGGATGTTAGGAGAAAGCGTGCCGAACTGCATTTGCCCTGCATTTGCCCTGGTGGTTGGCCTCTTAAAAGGGTTTAATGTCAGCCTTGGCCAGGTGAGAGGTAAGAGCCACTTCACAGGGTTGTTAGGAGAGGATTGAATGAGATAAGGCGTGTAAAGTGCTTAGTACTTTTCCTTGAATCTAATTAGGGTGTAGAAAGTGTCACTAATTAATGTTGCTTTTTGAACTAAATGTGACCGTTACATTTTTTATTAATGGTGGGTTTTGTTGTTTTCTTGATTTGAGCATGTGTGCCCAAGCAACTCTGTTTGAAGGTCTGCTGATTTCAAGAAGCAGATAAACATATTTAGGTCATTACAAAATAAGCATTTTTCCTCCACCACAGCTTACTTTGACTGAATAAAAAAATCACTGGTTAAGTAGCATGTTTTCGAATTAACGTTTTGTACATTTTTTGTAAATTTTGTTTTCCTGTAAATTGAGGAAAGCAATCCATCCTGAAGATCCCTTGCTGGTCGGGCCTGGGTTTCAGTTCCGTCGGAACCGAGTTGAAGTGAAGATGCAGTTGTGGGGGCCGCCCTGGGAAAGCAGTGTTGAATGAAAGCTGGCTGTTGCTGAGGGAGATAGGCTGGTAGTTCATAGTCAGGGATAAACATCTTGTGTTAATTACCTTTCAGATATTGACTCACTTAAAATCTTCACAAGAGTCCAATCAGTGTGGATGATGGCATTCCCACTTGACAGACTTGAAAACTGAGGTTTGGAAGGGTCTCAGGGCTTGGGATGTGGTGTCTCCTGGCTCCAGGTCCTGTGTTTTCTCCACCACAGCCCCAGCGCCAGCGCTGCTCCAGCGCTGCCCCAGGTGTTGTTGTGGTGTCAGGGTGAGCCTCTCCTTTGCAGTCCTGGAAGCTTAATTTCTTCCATTTGCGCCTTGTTTCTAGCTCAGGTGAACCTAGTGATGCTCATCAAGCTCTCCAGCAGTGCCAGGTGATTCAGGAAGTCTGACTGTCAAAGGTACTTGAAAACTTACTCTTGTTGCCCAATGATTTCTGCTTCTGTTCCCTCCTCCTGAGTCATCACGGGGAACCAGATTGCTATGGAAAAGGCAGCTTGCGGCAGTCAGATCAGGGTAAGGGGTGAGGGTGATGTTAACAACCATGTGAGTCAGTGTCAGGGAGCTGTGAGTTGAATAGCCACAGGCCCTCCCCTGTATATTGCCGTAAAGTGCTGATCGGTGCAGGGAAGAGCTTGTTTTATGGCTGGAGGCCTCAGACCTGCCAAGGTGTAGTCGGTGTGCAATGGGTTTGGCTTCCTTTAAGCCATTCCAGTCCTTGGGAACCACAGTGGTTACATGGATTACACTTAATACTAGTATTTTCAGGTCTCCTGTCTCCTGTGAGTAGCTGATTTATAAATCATTTCTTAGTGTGGGTTACTTTTGTAACAGTAGCAGAATGATAATATTGAGGGTGAGAGCTTGCTGTGTGGCCGGCCTGTCCAGGAATCAAGTCATTTGCAGTCCCAGTGGCCTGGGGGCATCTTAGTCCATCACTGTATGCATCGGCTACAGATGAGTTAAAACCCACCCTTTGGAAATTTTGATGAATATTTTCGATATACCCTCCCCTGCTGTGTAAGAGGGGTGTATTGAGAGTGTATGTCTGCTGTGCGCCCCTCTTCCTTCGTTGTAAGGGGCTGTACAATGGGGAGCACTCATCTCCACGTTCTCTTATACTGCTCAAAATCCATGTCATTATGTATAGAAAGAAATGAAGAGATTTTCCTAAGGATATTTTTGAGGGTCCTCCAGACTTGAAACTTCTAATTCATGGTTTGTGCTTGATAAGTGAAGGTGTGATTTGTAATAGAAAGTGATTAGTTTTAATTTAAGTTTTTCTATTATGCGCCTTGTAATATATTCCTATTCTTGACATTTTCTCCCTCCCTTTCAAACTTTATGGACTCTTTCACTCATTGATCTGTGCCTTTTTTTTTTTTGGTCTTGATACTGTTGTCTTCTTTCCCACCCCTCTGCTCTTTCTGGCAGCGTAGAACCTGGATGAGTGCTTCAAAGAACGGCCAGTTCTGTAGATCCGCGCTGGGCCTGGTCCAGCAGGTCTTGCTGGGGTCACGCAGTTGTGGTCCTCTAGCTGCTGCACCGGCACTGAATGGCTCTGGTAGCCGTGCCCATCTGCTAGGTGATTAGTGCTGCTTGTCAGCTGGGGTACCTTGGCTCCCCACTGGGGGCTAGACTGGGCTCCACGAGGCCGAGTTCCAGGAGCAGGCTCCAGTGTCAGTGTGCTTGTCACACGCTTGCCTGCCGACATCCCCTTGGCCAAGGAAGTCACATGACCAAGCCCAGCGTCAGGGAGGGAGGGGACTGAACTGTGTAAGAGCCGGTACCGGGAGGCGCGATGGGGGAGGTGGTTAGTAAGCTACCGCAGTGGAGCTGGGGCGTTGGGGTGGGGGCTTTGTTCTGCCAGCTGTGAGTGACAAGTTCCATGTCTGTAGTTTATTCTAGTTTGCATTCAACTTAGTTTGATGAGCATTTATTTAGTGCTGGGTGCTGGGCAAGAATAAGGCAGTCTCTGGCTGCTCTTTATTTCCGTTCGTAAGCACTTATGTTCTCACATTTAAGCAGAAAGCGTCCTGTCAGACCTTCACTCATGGCTTCAGATGAAGAGGACGGAACTATGTATACAAATCTGTGCTGGGGCGTGATTCTGCTTTCAGGAAATGCTGATAGGTCCTTGAAAAAAAAATGGGTTGCTATGATGACTTGGCTTCGGGCCTGCAAACTGTGGTGACGACATAATCACCAAGGAAACCAAAAGATGCAGCTTCTAAAAGGTCTCGGAAGGCTTTTGTTACTGCAGTCTGGAAGCGGACTGGCTCGGAAGAACCGCGGTGAGGCTCGCTGTCCTACAGAAACTTCCAGGGGCAGGTACTAAGTGCTTTGGAACCTCTTGCTTGGTCCTCGATTTCCAAACCAGAAGGGCTTGGGGTGCTTTCTAAGTCATTGTGAGGTTTGGCTCCGATAATTATGTTGCTGAAAGAACAGGAAATGAGGTAATGTCTTTATAAACTTGTTATAATGAACTGTAAATGTCTAAATATGGGCAGCTATGCGTTCATCACTAGAGTTATTGTGCTGAGATTTAGCTAACTGGGTACTTCCTGTGTTGGCTGCTTTGATTCTTAAAGTATTAAAGCCTTGAGGCACATCTGCCGGCTGAGTCTGGAGCCTGCGCGGCTCGGCTGGAAGTGCTGAGGACAGCCAGGCTCAGGAGCAGAGAGAGGCTTGAGCACTAAAACCAGCACCGAACTACACAGGAGTGTATGCGCGCACCTGTTACATAAGTGTTCAGTGCTGGTAGTGATAACTTGTTCTTCTGGAAACTTTGAAATCACTTAATTTTGGAGTTAAGTCCAGCCCACAGAAGTTTAGTTTACTCAGACTTTTTGCAGATATGTAAATGTTTGGGTTTTCAGTTTGTTTTTATGATCATGCATATTCGGAGCATCAGAAGCAGTTGAACAATAATTGAAAGAACTAGAGAGAGATTTTTAAAGTTCTTCACAATAGTAATGGTTTGGGGCATGTGATTTCTTAAGTCATTGGTTAACCAGAGACTTTAAAAAAAACGCTGTTGGATGTTGTGTGGAGCAGGGTGAGTTGAGAGTCCCTCCCAGGTGGGAAGGAGTAACTGTTTTCAAGTGATGCAGGTTGTTTGGGGGGCAGTTGGATTAGTCAGTCGGTAAGCATCTGGCATTAACTTCTCACATAGGATTGAGTAAGAGTGACTCGGGGTTCCGTCCTGCAGTGGGAGGTTGAGAAGGGAGTCTGTGGGCGCCTGAGCTCTTTGACTCGGCAGTTTGAGTCCAGAACACGTCATATGAGAGATTCTCAAGCTTTCGAAACTCGGTCAGTTAAAAGATTTCCTATTTTATAGCTGTTAAACCTGAGGACTGGCGAGTAGTTAGGTCAGTCACTGAGATCTCTGGGCTGGGGCCCAAGGTCGCTTATACTAGCGGTTACATAACACAGTGGAAAACCTCAATATTTGTTCCTTTCCTGAGAGACTATCTAGAAACAGATGACCTGGATGGTGACCCGCAGCGGGAGGGGCGATGGGGCTGAGCACTAGCCTTGGGCGGGCGACAGGCATCTGTGAGCAGCGTTTTCCTCACCTGCACACTGTGGGCTCTTAACATTTGGGGAAAGGTCACAGACCCTTGGGGAGTTTGATGGAAGCTCCGAGCCTTTGCCCTGGGTTGGGGTGGGGGGTCGGGGGGTTCACTGGCATGTACAGGAAGTTGTATCTGCATCTTCGGGGCTATTCTTAGGGCCGTGTTTAGCTTTAAAATCTAATAATGCTGCTCATAGACTGATGAAGCCTTGTCTCCTTAGCCTGGAGAATTCCTTCTGGTGACCTGATTCTAACTGAGGGGAAAAAGATTACACTTGTGAAAAGGTGCTTTTCAGTCAGTGTGCGTAGGAGATGCAGAGAGGGCCCTGGTGTATTCTGCTGACCGCTGTTCTGGAAAGCAGTTTGACAGTGTGTGCTGAGGTGTTGTACAGAGTCCATGTTCTTTAACTCAGCAGTTCTGCTTTTCAGAAATCTCTCCTGAATAGATAATTTCAAAATAGATAAAAAGCCTTGTGCACAAAGATGGTTGTCAGCGTTACGGTAACATCCTGCACTGGGGATGTAGATAATGTCAGTAACGAGGAGGTTCATGTATGCAGGTACTGCACTTGTGTTTATGAACAGTTTAATAATGTGAGGGAGATGCTTTTATTATAATGCATGAAAAAAGGAGGACATGGCGGCGGGGAGGGGATGGCTCAGTGGTAGAGCGTGTGCTTAGCATGCACCAGGTCCTGGGTTCAATTCCCCAGTCCCTCCATTAAAAAAATAAATAAACAAACCTAATTATCTCCCCCCCGAAATAAAATTTAAAAAATTTTTTAAAAAAGTAGGATATGGCCTATGGTCCCAAAGGATGTAAAATTTTTAAAGTAAAAAGTCTAGAGGGAAATGTACAATGCTAACAGTTACTGCCTGTAGATAGTAGGATTATGGGCTTTTTAAACTTTTTTTTCCATATATTTCCTTTTTATATATATTAACATTTTTTAAAATTGAAGTATAGTTAGTTTACAATGTCAGTTCCTGGTATAGTTCGTCATACATATACATACATTTATTCATTTTCATGTTCTTTTTTTCTTGTATATGTATATATATTTTTTATTGGAGTAAAGTCAGTTTACAATGTTGTGTCAGTTTCTGGTGTACAGCATAATGCTTCAATCGTACATTAACATGTATCGATTTTCATATTCTTTTTTATTATAGGTTACTACAAGATACTGAATATAGTTCCCCATGCTATACAGTATAAACTTGTAGTTAATCTATTTTATTTATAGTAGTTAGTATCTGCAAATCTTGAACTCCCGATTTATCTCTTCCCACCCTCTTTTCCCCGTTGGTGACTGTAAGTTTGTCTTCTATGTCTGTGAGTCTGTTTCTGTTTTGTAAATAAGTTCATTTGTCTTTTTTAAGATACCACATCTAAGTGATATCATATGGTATTTTTCATCCTCTTTCTGGCTTCACTTAGAATGACAATCTTTAGGTCCATCCATGTTGCTGCAAGTGGCATTATTTTATTCTTTTTTATGGCAGAGTAGTATTCCATTGTATAAATATACCACAACTTCTTTATCCAGTCATCTGTCGATGGACATTTAGGTTGCTTCCATGTTTTGTCTATCGTAAATAGTGCTGTTGTGAACATTGGGATGCAGGCATCTTTTTGAATTAAGGTTCCCTCTGAATATATGCCCAGGCTTGGGATTGCTGGATCATATGGTAAGTCCATTTTTAGTTTTTTGAGGAATCTCCATTCTGTTTTCCATAACGGCTACACCAAACTACATACCCACCAACAGTGTTAAAATTTTTTTAATATATTTCCTTCTTGATAGTAAGTATTATAGAATTAGGGGGAAATATGATTCTGGAAAAACTGTGGAAGATGGAAATAGTTTGGCAATAGGGACCTAGCTGGTTTAAGATTCCTGTTTCATGTAAGCTAAGAACTGACCTTGTATTTTGACTGTTTTTTGGACTGGATTTTATTTGGCTGGTCTGGAGTTCAGTACGGCCAAGGGGAGGCCTGGCATCTCAGAAGACTTGCTCGAAGTGTCACGATCTATCTCAGGTGCACCACTCAGTAGCCTGCAGAGCTCATGGTCCCCTGGACGCTGTATCTGGCTTACTTTTTTATGCCACGTGCATCATCTTCCTCCTGTGATAAGTCATTTGTGTTCATGTTGACTGGAGGCTGTTCTGAAACACAGACATAAACAGGTCCATGTGCAAACACCCAGCACCGAGCCCACTGCTCCAGCTGTGCTCCGTCACCTGGTTTTCCTCCCTTTTCTGTCCAGTGTAGCACTTTGGAGAAGCTGAGTCTGAGACTTGGCCTGGCCTGCAAATCACAAGTTAGGAATGGGGGCTTAGGAACTGTTTTGGATGTATGTTTTTATAGATGATGCTTCTTGGATATTCTAATTTAAAGAAAGCTCCAGGACCTTTGATTTTAATTCCAGCCTCATCTCTCTTCCAGAATACTAATAAGAGAACTTTTATCTGGGAAGTAGAAGTTGCTTCTGAATCTCTTTAGGATTCACAGATGGATTCAGTGGAAAAGACAACAAATAGAAGTGAACAAAAATCAAGGTAAATAAAGTCGACTGCACTTTCAGACAGGTCTATGGCCTCCATCACAGGCCTCCTTGTCTGTTCTTTAGTACCTACGAAGGCGAAAGTGGGGTGAGAGCACTGGGTCAGGAGGGGAGCTCAGGGGCCCTGTAACTACCCCTTGCTTCCACGTGAGAAATGCTCCAGAAGGCAGTTTCCTTTCTGCCCAAGGAAGTGCCCATAGCCTGGTCCCCACACCAAGCAGCAGGTGATCAGAGGGTCACATCTAAGACCAGGGGTGCCACGCCGTGCAGGAAGGACGTCTCTGTCAGCAGGCAGGTTACGCTGTTGTGAAGTGAGGCTGGAGGAGGGGTGCTTGCCAGCGTGGGTTGGGACTGCTGCGTAGCGGAGGGCCGGCACTTTGCCAGGGGTTTGCTTTTCTGTCACTGCAAGCAGGGATCATTTTGTCGTCATCGTTTGTATGCAGAAGCTCTTTGCATTTTTAAGGGAAATTAAACTGCTGAGCTTTGCTGTTCATAAATGTCTATCACTTAAATGTGTGCTCAACACCATGGGGGACTCAAAGTGAGGAAGACACAACTGTCTCCAAGTCCCTTGTGGGATGAGGATAGAGCATGTGAAATTAATACACAAAAAAGAACAATGCACAGGATTTACTTCCAGTTAGTATAAGCTAGGGGGATGGTGTGTGTGTGTCCAGTGCAAGGCTGTACTTGACCTCACCCTTCACAGGTGTTCCCAGACTGCATTGTTTTTCTTTGTGGTTGTAATACTTCCATGCTGACTGTCATTCTCTGCCTCCCTTGATTTTAAGTAGAAAGTTTCTGAAGAGCCTCATCCGGAAACAGCCCCAGGAGCTGCTCCTGGTCATTGGCACTGGTGTCAGCGCTGCCGTGGCCCCGGGCATCCCCGCGCTCTGCTCGTGGAGGGGCTGCATCGAGGCGGTCATCGAGGCCGCCGAGCAGCTGGAGGTGCTGCACCCAGGGGACGTGGCTGAGTTCCGCAGGAAGGTGATGAAGGACCGGGACCTGCTGGTTGTTGCCCACGATCTCATCCGGAAGATGTCCCCTGTAAGTCTTCTCAGACAAGGACTTTGGGTGGCACAGGGGGCAACTTGATTCTGGGCACAGGTCAATCTGTGAATCTAGTGTTTTAATTTCTACAAGCCTGCGTCATGTTTGTTTCCCACAGAGCTGGGCTGATGAGCCAGAAATCTCTCAGTCCATTTGAATATTGTCTCTTTAAACAGAGGGGATGCCAGGCGCTGTGCGGGCTCCTGAAACAACCTGTGTTTCAGACGGAGCCTGGATACCTGAGCTTGTGTCAGGGACCAGCCTGCTGATCTCAGCCTTGGTTAGTGAAGGGTGGGGTGTCCAGGTCTGAGCAGGCCGGCCGGCCACGTCTCTCCTCATGACAGGTGGTTCCTAAGCACTTCAAGGTGGGAGAAGATGTAGCTTCTGTGTCTGCAGGTGGAAGGGACTACCAAGGGGGAAGGGCAGTGGGTGAGACAGAGATGCTCGCTGGGTGATGCCCTGGAGTCAGTGGGGCTGGTGCTCTCACCCAGGTCTCAGCCAGGTCATCGCCATCCAGGATGCGTGCGCACTGGCCTGTGGCAGGTTTCTGATTCTGTTTATTGAAGGACAGCCGTCATCTGAGGGGTGGGGAGATGTTGGATTGATAGGGAGAAAGTATGCAAACCAGCGTGCAGAATTCAGACTGCTGTGAAAAGAAACCTAAAAGCACATGGCTCAAATGTGACTGCATTTGTGTTTCTACAGAGAAGCCTGGGTGGGCAGCCACGGGAGAGCCTAGTGGTGTGGCTGTGGGGGGGACGCGGGCTCCTTTTTCTTGGTCTGCCATCGTCACTCTGCAGCTTCCCCCTGACGCCCCAGGTTTGCCGCCCCAACTCCCACCATAATGATGTGCGTCTTCTTGGGGGGGAGACTGGGACTGGGAGGGAGGGCCGTGCGGCATCCTGTCTGGATTTTGACAGGCAGGCCACATACCCCGCTCTGTTTTCATGGCATTGGCCAGAGTTCTCATGTGGCCAAACCTGGCTTCACCAGAGTCTGGGAGAGTCTGGGTGGCGTGCCAGGTGTGGGCGTCCTGTTCTCACGGGACAGCTGGCATCACAGGGCAGGGGTGGCTGCTGCTTGTTTTCATAAAGAGAGTGTGTCGGCTCAGAGCCGGCCGCCCGTCTGCGTGCTGCCAGTGGCCGCTGTCCCGCCCCAGGCAGGGCTGGGTAGTGGCCGCAGAGACCGCGACCGCGAAGCCTGCAGCTGCTTGTTCCCTGGTCCCTTAGAGACAGTAGCTGAGCCCTGTCCGGGGAGGCAGAAGGGGTGGACCAGAGGAGGGTCATAGGGCTGGGAGCCCGTTCAGAGGAGGTCATTCCTTTGAAGAGAGGCCAGCTCGGTTGATACTTGTTGAATCAAGGAGATGAGTATTTATCTTACTCTTTTCTTTACTTTTGTGTCTTTTTGAAAACTTCCGTAAAAAGAGCTGAAGTGAGGCCAGTCAGGATGGTGGTTTTCCCCAGCCATGTTCAGCAGGTTGAGAACAGATTTAGAGTAAGTGGAGAGTTAGTTTTATCAGGGTTGGGGTTTTGCCAGGGAAGTTGACAGCGTTTTGAGGAGTAACTGCAGTGCTGCGTCGTGGAGTCTAGGCTGCCTGATGGGAGAAGTCAGGCCGGCGGCAGGTGAGAGACAGTGGGTCGTGGCAGCGTGTCTTGATGGGGTTGAAGTTTCCTGGGAGCCAGGGTGCAGGAGAGCTGGGCAGGTGGCGGGAGAGGCCGGACCAGGGGTTCTGGAAAGGGTCCCGCTGTTGGTGATGACAAGGTTTGGGATGTGACTGCGTCGTGGTTGGTGGAGGTGGGACAAGAGCGCAGTAGGAGAGTGCTGGGCGAGTTGAGAGGCCGTGGTACAGACGGGGTCATCCACATGCAGGCACACCCGCCGCGAGCTATGACAGAGGTGTAGCTGGAGAGACTTTGCACCCCCACATCTTCGCTGGTTGGGGCGTCGGGGTGCAGGGGTGTGGGGAGCCGGCTTCCAGTGGAGGAAGGAGGCAGACGTTCCCAGGAGAGGATGAAGACGTGGGGGCTTACTAAGGACGGGTCCCTGGGGACAGTGGAGGGGTTTTCAGGGCTGGGAGGGCTAGGAGAGTGTCAGAAAAGGGCGTGCCAGCCGTGGGGCAGCCGGCCTCTGCAGGGACATGCCTGCAGGGGGAGAGCAGTGACGGCCACTCCCGAGCCTGAGGGGAGGGGGCGGCCCAGCCGAGGGCGGGCAGAGGGGTTGCGTGTGAACTCCGAGTTCAGGCTCCACAGCCTGTGCCCCCAGCCCCGGGCGAGGCCGGTGAGGGGAGGTAGGACAGGCGGCGCAGGAAACCTCTGGACCCTGCATCCTCCTTGCCCCGCCCCCGCTCCTCAGGTCCCCTTCACAGCAGCTCCCCAAGGGTAGATGTGTTTGCCCTCCTCCTGCGCCAGCCAGGCCCTGCCCCCCTGGGCAGTGGCCTTCGGCGCTGCATCCACCCCGGACCTCCCCCTAGTCCTGCTGGAGCTCTTGGCAGCATGGCATGCTGCCTTTCATCTACTGTCCTAGACTGATGAGGAAGAGGAAGCTGGGCCTTTGTGTCTCTCGCAGAGGGAGAGGCGCAGTCTTCAGCGTGGTCCTCAGGGCCCCGCGTGACCAGAGCTTCCAGGTCACCTCTGACCTCGCCTGTGACACATGCCTTCACTGTGCTCCGGAGGCCGGGCCAGTGCTCACCCCCCCTGCCTGTGCTGTCACCTCGGTGCCGTCTCACCTGTTCGTCCCTCTGATGGCGGCTCTCTCCAGGGCTCCTCACTTCTCAGCCTCTCCTCACACCCTGTATCCCAGCCCCTTCCTGATGCCCTTTGGCCCGTCCAACCTTTGCCCCCACAGTACTCGCCCCTTTCTCTGCTTTGCTTTTCATCACGGTTGATGTCTTACTTACATTATTTGCATGTTATCTGTCTCTCTTCTCCTTTTACCTCTTTTAATAAACTCTACAAGGTCAGGGGGAGGGGACAGCTCAGTGGTAGAGTGCGTGCTTAGCATGCACGAGGTCCTGGTTTCAACCCTAGTACCTTGGTCAAAATAAATTAAAAAAACAACCCTAATTCCGCCCTCACAAAAAAAGACAAAACAAAAGTAAACCCTACAAGGTCAACAGGTTTCTTTCTTTAAAAAAACAAAAGAAAACCCCCGTAGCCTAGCACCTGGTGTGTCGCAGCGCCCGCCTAGGCGCACTGGCTGTTGACGGGTGATGTTTTTGTAACTCCGGTCCACCTCTCCGTAGCGCACGGGCGACACCAAGCCCAACTTCTTCCAGGACTGCCTGATGGAGGTCTTCGACAACCTGGAGCAGCACATCCAGAACCCGCTGGTGCTGCAGTCCATCCTCAGCCTGATGGACAGGGGCACCATGGTGCTGACCACCAACTACGACAACCTGCTGGAGATCTTCGGGCAGCAGCAGAGCAAGCCCATGGAGTCCCTGGACCTGAAGGACAAGACCAAGGTACGGGCCGGGGGCCAGGCCGGGCCGCGCCTTCGCACCGCCGGGGGGCAGCGGCCAGTTAGTGGTCAGGGAGGCGCCGCCCGCTCCCCGCCATGCAAGGAGCCGCGAAGGCCTGGGACGGAGGGCACTGCCCCCGCTTCTAGACGGGGGCGACAGTGGCAACGTCGCCCCCAGTTTGATGCTGTGAATTGTGGTTAATTTGCTTACTTATTTATTTATTTTAACAAATTGGGGTTGCAGTGTATGTAAAGTTTTTATCCCTGTTTTTCTTCATTAATACTCTACTGTGAGCATTTTCTGTCATTAAGCTGTTTTTATTGATTCATTTACTTGTTTACTTTTATTGAAGTGTAGTCAGTTACAGTGTGTACACAGTGTGCACAGCATCATATTTCAGTCCTACATATACATACATGTATTCGTTTTCATATTTTTTCATTTAAGCTGTTTTTAGAAGCATGATTTTAAATGTAATTTCATTGTGAGGCTACACTATAGTTGTCACCTTCCTCTGTCATTGTTGGCACTCTTCACAGTTGTAAATAATGCTACAGGGGAAATTTTTACACTTTTAATAAATTCCTAGAAAAGTGTTAGGGTCAAAGGGTATGACTGTTTTAAAGAGAAATGATATAAATTACTGAAGTGTTTGCTGGAAGATTACCAGTGTCCATGCGCCCGCGCTATGTAAGGGGGAGTCCATTTCCCACATCTTGCCGGCACGTGGTGGTGCTACAAACCAGACAGAGCACACTTCTCCCACTGGATAGGAGCACATGTTACGTTTTTATTTGTCACTAAGGTTGAACATAATTTCGTTACATTGACTGTACTTCTGTGACCTGTTTGCCTAAAGACTTATAATATGACCACCAGCTCCCATGCTGCCTGTGTTAACCTGCTCCACCATGGGAGGAGGCCTCAGCCCAGCTCCACACGCAGGGAAACTGAGGCACACTGAGACTGTGTCCCATTCGGGACCCAGGAAGTGTGCCGGCTCGGCTCAAGGCCGGGCTTCCCTTTGGCAGTCGCGGCCCAGGCCCCTGCCCTGTGAGGGGGCCGGGAGAGGCGCTGTCACCCTCATGGTGGGGCCGCTGGTGACACGTGATAGAACACCTGCTGCACGTCAGGACAGCGAGGGCCCATCTGTGAGGCTGCTCGCTGCTGCACATGGTGTCTCTGGAAATGCCCCGCAGATGGCGTGTAACAGAGACGCCGGCTGGTCCTGGGCCTGCGCCCGGCGGCAGGGGCGGTGGTGGCGGTCGATGGCCTGGGGCTGGCAGTCCCGCCCCCGATGCGAGAGGCCCGGCCTGAAGACGAAAGTGTGCACAAGTTGTGCGTCTCCTTAAGGACCTTGTTCTGCATCTTGACATGAAGTCAACACAGAGCTACCTGAGGAATTATTTTTTCCATGTACATCTCTTTTGGGTGTAAAAACGATGTTTACACAGCAGTAATTAAAATACAACATGTGACTCAGAAGTGAAGGCCGTCCTGATCTCCCTAAAGGCACCGGTCTTAAAGGGCGAAACACTCTGAGATGCTGAAGGTACCCTCTCTGTCACTGTCTCGGGCTTTAGAGAGGCCCTTGCTGCTGTGGTGCGCGTGAGTAACCAGCACCAGCGGCCGAGGTGCCCGTGGCTCTTAAGGGCACAGCTATAAGGTAAAGCATCTCTCCTGCCGCTTCCAAGGTAGGTGAGAGGCCAGGAGCCGATGTAGGCATTTCCCTCTCGTGTGTCCGGCTTGCTCCCCGGCAGGTCCTGCAGTGGGCGAGGGGCCACATCAAGTACGGAGTTCTGCACATTCACGGCCTGTACACCGACCCCTGCGGGATGGTGCTGGATCCTTCGGGATATAAAGACGTCACTCAGGACCCAGAAGTCATGGTACGCCCGGCCGGCCCGTCGCCGGCTGAGCCGTGGGGCGGTGTGTGCGGCCCTCTTGCCTAGGGGGGTGGTGGCACTTGTGCGGTGAGACTCCAGGCCCCAACGGTCTGGAACATTCTTCTCTGGCTGCTCCTCCCCACTCGTCCCTTCTGTGTTCATTCAGCCACCTCCTCTCCTTTCTCTGCTTCACAATCTCTTTAGCTTTCAAAACCTAGCTTTAAAATTTCACTCTTTGTGAGGCTATTTGATATCCTTGACGGAGTGAGGTGTTTGCAGACGCTGCTTCCCAGCTTTTTATAAACTCGTTGATTATGGCTCTTAGGAGCCCCGGGGTCCTCACCGCCTCACCATCAAGCTCGGAGTCAGGCCTCTGGCCTCGGTGCTGATCCCTGCGCACAGGGTGGCCCCGTGGACGACTGGGCTGACGCCCTTCAGCTGCCTCAGGGATGGCGTCGGTGGGGATGAGAGATGCCCTGCTGACACTGAACCTCACTGAGGTGTCTGGGTGTCTGAATTGGTGATTCTCTGCTGTGTGCCTGAGTGACCCCATTAATAATCTTGGCCTCCCCCTGCGCCTACTCCCTTGGGTCATTGTCACCAGTTCCCTCCTCAGCTCTCCTGCCCTCACTCCCTACAACCCTGTTCTCGGGACACCAGGCCCCTCCCTGCAACGTTCCCACCTGTGATCCATTGAGACATTCATTCCAGGGCATTGCACGTGCACAGCTCTAAACCAAAAAAAACTTCATGTCCTTATGTTTTAACCATTTAAAGCTGTGCATAATTCTAGAAGGTCTGAATTGAGTGACCGCACTGACAAGGTTGCTGGTGGTGTGGTGGGCAGTAGCGCCTCTACACGGGTCTGAGGCCGGGGCCGGGGACCCTGGGTTGGAGACAGAGAGGCTCTTTCTTCCTGCCTTCCTTCCAGTGGGTCTTGGGAAAGGCCGCTTAGGCAGCCCGATTTAAAAGGGCAAGTGTGTGACGTTATGGTCTGTCCTAAGATCTTGCTGGCTTTCACAGGAAGTCTTCCAGAACTTGTACCGCACGAAGTCTTTTCTGTTTGTGGGCTGTGGAGAGACCCTGCGTGATCAGATATTCCAGGCTCTCTTCCTCTATTCGGTGCCGAACAAGGTGGACTTAGAGCACTACATGGTTGTGCTCAAGGAGAGTGAAGACCACTTCTTCAAGCACCAGGCGGACATGCTTCTGCACGGAATTAAAGTCGTGTCCTACGGGGGCTGCTTTGACTATTTTCCAGGATATGTGCAAGACCTTGCTGCTCAGATCTGCCAACAGCGAAGTCCAGGTACAGGATTTTTTTTTTCACTTTTCAATGTACAAAACCGACAGGATTCTTCCAGTTTTTGCTTTTTTTTTTGTAGATATACTTTACATACCATAAATTTGAGATGTAATTTTACATACAGTCAGATGCGCCAGTCTTCCCGTTATTTATTTATTTTTAGTGTCTCTGTGTACTTAAAAAACAGCAGATGGGGAACTTGGTGTGATGGTGACAGTCTGTAAGGAGAGCTCTGCTGCCACTTGCATAGCTGTACGTGGAGCCCCACACGTCTGTCCCCGTTTCACGCGACGTGGCAGCTTCACGTCGCCTTCCCCAGGAGGGGGCACTGCCCAGGCAGCTCCATTGGTTGTGACACTGAACACCTGGAAAATGGCGGAGTCTTGTACCTTCACCCGTCACTGCGTTTTAAAAGCTAAAGCTGCAGAGGCACAAAGGGCTTTTATGAAGACTTTTCTTTCTGTTCTCATATGATGTCTTTTCCCTGTTCTGCTGAGTGCAACACACCTTTTCAGTGAATGTCCTCGGCCCTTCTTCTGGGGAGTTGGTCATCTGCCAGGAATGACCAAGGTGACTGAGCACTTCTTAAACTGGTCACCTGGACATAAAGGCTTTGAGGTTGGTGTCACTAAGCATGGATGACGGCAGACTTGGAAAGGCCTGTGTGGGCTCTCGTGTTGTAACAGGAAACCCAGCCGCGGTCACCCACGCGGTGGAGTTGGCTTAACCACCGAGGTGGCAGGACGTGACCAGTGGTGACCTTGAAGACTAGACAGCGCAGAGATCATGGTGACCGAACGCACAGACAATCCAGCAACTTCATTTCTTCCCACTCGTCCTTTTCAGAATTGCTAATAATTAGCAAAATGGACCGATTTAAGCTGCATTTCCATTAATAACAGCACACCTAGGACGGCAGGCAGTGTTTGCTGAGGGGGGAGGAGGGACTGCTGCCGCGTCACATGCTGCTCCCAAGTCTACCTTCTTGCGCTTGTTGCATCGTTAGTCCCAGCACCCGCTGCTGCTAAAGGATGAGGCAGGCTTGGCGGGGGGCTGACCTGCCCAGTTAGTGCCCGGGACCCCAGGCTGACAGCAGAGTGGAACGTGTGACTGACTGGCTGTGTCCCCGCACGCGCTCTGGGGGGCAGCGGCTCCAGTCCCTCTGCCCCTTCCCACTGTCCCTCCCGCCTGCACTGGCACAGCTGCCTGGGGGGCCAGCACCCAGCTGACGGCGGGGGCTTCCTGTCCCCGCTGGGCCCCCTGGCCGGACCCTGGCCGCTGAGTGGATTTGACAGCTGGCCGGGGCTGAAGGCCTGCTGGACTTGTGACCTGTGACTCTGTCCCTAAGGACACTTGCACTTAGTTTTTTGAGGTACTTCTGTTAGGCGAGGGCAGCACACCAGCAATGACAGCCCTGATGGTGACAGTCCCGTGTGCCCAGCTGGCTCAGGCGGCTCCCACAGATGCCCCGGGAGGCGGAGAGGAGAGGGCGGGAGCCGGCCCCCGGCCCCCGGTCCCCAGGATGCGAGCGCGGGCTCCCCTGGGCGGGCCTCTCCTGCAGC